GGGGGGGTTGCAGTGAGACAATTGGTCCCTTGTGTGTTTTATGATAATGAAAGTGGACTCCCGTTGGCCAGGCCGGTCCTGAACACAAAGATCACTCTCAACAAGTCTGGTACTGTGGGCGCCTGCTTGGTGCTGAGGCAGCGAGTGTGCGTGTGACAGCACCATTATTCACCAGGAAGCCTAATTACATTAGTTGTTTTTTTACACCGGATAGAAAAACTGTCTTGTTAAGCTGAGCCAAATGAAAACCAAACCCCCCCCCCCCCCCGGTGCAGATGCTGTTTGACTCGACATGTTTTACTCAATTCTACTGTTAGATTTAAGAGTCACTCTTGGCAAAGTGAAGTACATGAATACACATGCTTTTTAGATGTTTACGTGTCTATACGGTTATATTTCCCGGTTTTGTTTGCAGACATCCAGAGCTGATTCACAGTAGTTTGAGGGATTATTTTCATTTGGCACCAATGTGGCTTCAATACAAACTAGCCTTGATGTTTCTCTCACATTGTAGGAGCTGGAATGAAATGAATGATCTCCATTGTTTCCATTTCCCACTTTTTATTACACTCTCATGTTTTGCATTTCATGGCCTAAATTCATCCACTTTAGGCCTGAATGAAATGTACAAGACTGATCACACTTCACTACTAAAGGATCAATACAACAACAACAAAAAAGACCAGCTGATAGTGGACCAGCTGATTGATTCAGGAAATCATGTTCCTGGTGCCTGGAGACGCTCATGAATCTTGCATGTGCAGCAAACATGGAGAGAAAAATAGGACACAAGCGGAGAATCACACATTCATTTTATAGGGTGTAATGCATCACATGACGAAGTAGGAGAACATGATTCACAAACAGAGATCAATAAAGAACAACATTTATATCCTGCATGTGTGTGCGTGTGTGTGTGTGTGTGTGGTGATGAGGGCGTCTGGTTTAGTGTAGTACGCTTTTTATTCCTGAAAATGGAATAGGACGTACCATTTGGCTGATGTTAGAGGCACACACATCTTTTAGAGGAACTCCGGGGGGCACAAAGACAGACCATCGTGCACTGCTGCCTCTCTGTCCAAATGCAATTCCTTAATGCACTCTGACTGAGAGTCAGAGATCTAATAAGAAATGGAAGAGCATCTTCAATAATGAAAGCACCCCCCCCCCCTCCCACCTGCATCTCTGCTGCAGAGCGAGGGGCCCAGATGCTTCATAAATAACAGAAGCCAGACCCAACACGTGCTGCTCCAACGTCTGGGAACTGCCAATAATCCTTCTCATCTACTAAAATGCCGTAGTTTGCAGTCATCAAGTTAATGCAGCCCAGTGCAGCAGCTCTGGTCTATTAAACTGTTCTGCAGAGAGACCGCGGATGTTCAATCACCTTTTACTGACGTGAGGAGAGAACAAGAAGAGCTTTCCCGGATAATTTAGCCCCTAATAACACGAGGGAGAACTGCTTCCATCGACGGAAACGTCCTGAAAACATGTTTCATTCTCTTGATTACTTAAGTCCCGCCAATATGAAATCAGCCCTAAATTGTTTCCCGCGCTTCATCGACACCATGTCGACTTAAAACCTGTAATAACTTGTAGTGCTTTTTACGAGGCAAGTCAATACCATCATCCTCACTCGGGCGTTCATTCAGACGTCGTCGTCACAGGAGTGCAAATTCATTTCCTCTCCAATATTTGAGACAAATCCCCTCTAGCAATTAACCTGCATTTGGGCAATTAACCTGTGTGCTTGTCGCTATCTAATAACTCCAGACTCTCGAGGCTCAACCCCCGACACTTTCCCAGCTTTTGTTGATTGCAGTAGAGACGTCAGTTCGTTACCCTCGTGTTTCACCATGAAGTAGGCGTTTGTTGTGCAAGAAAAGGCATGAAACAAAAGAAATCAGATGATTTGATTTCCCGTTCCAAGTGAGCAGTGTAGATTGCTTTGTTTTGGACCGTCTCTCTCTCTGCTTTATGAAGGGAGGCCTTTCTTTACGGAGGCAGAATGTGACCCTTCGCCGCTGTTCTTAAGACCGACCCGGTGTCTGAGAGAGCCACGGGCCGTTTGCCCTGCTATGAAAAGACGGCTCTGTGTTTGGCTCCCAAAAGATTGGCCCCTGTGACTCTCCTGTTGTGTCTCATGAGCGTGATTTATTTTAGTTCAGAAGTTAGGCCTCAAAGAGTGGCTTTCATCGCGGCTGTCTGCACCGTGCGGAGAGCGACTGGAGACGCATGCGGATAGGTGTACACTTAGCACGACCGCTCCAGTCCAGTATATCAAGCGAAGAAGCTAAAAGACTCTTTCCAGTACACTAAATGGGAGGTTTTCTTTCAATCGGCCATCTGCATCAATCTGTGTGTGTGTGTGTGTGTATCTGTTTTTTGTGTTGCGACCGAGGAGGAGAGAAGCCTTTTATCCCCCTCTTCAGCTGCCGAGTGCCTGAAATATTTAACAGGGACTGCACTATTTTTGGGCTTGTGCTCGGTTTGTTGAGGAGCTTATGTAATATGTAGTTTCGGCTCAGTGTGCACGGGTGCTGTTGCGTACCAAACAGCAACGCCAGCGGCTCGGCCGACTTAAGCGCAGCGACGCTGTAGACAATGTGACTTTGCAGCCGTACTGTATACGCCACCATGGGGGGTGTTGTGTACAAGGACTCCTGCGCCATCTGCGCTCCAGTTTAATCCAATTGGCGTTTTTTGAATAGAGCGTTTTGCTCGTCAAGGAAGCAGGGCCAGGCCACATCTTCTCAGGTTACATGTTTCTCGAAAGTATCGATCAACTCGTCTCTCTCTTTGCCTCCAACTGTCCCCCTTTTCTTTCTCAATTTGTCCCCCCCGTCCTCTCCTCTCCTCTCTCTCTCTCTCCTCTCCCGAGGTGTCACATTCTCTGACTCATGCCCTGGCGTGGAGGATGGGAGGAGAGCAGGGATGAAAGAGAAGAGAGGAAAGTCATTTTGCAGATAGAGAGAGTGACCTTCATCCAGCGAGAGGGATGGGATAAAAGCTGGAGTTAATACCCTGCCAGAGTGTATTCTCCTCCATGCCAAAAAAACCCATTCAGAATGATATATGGTTCTAATAGGAGCTCTCTAATAATAAGAAGCATGCCATTGTAAGTCAAGGCAAATGACCAGAAAATTCTATAGCGTCGAGTCCAGAGGGATAAACACTCGGGAGAAAGTCAAACTGTGTAATCGAATGAAAACAGCAGGAAGCCAACTAGAGAAGCTCCTAAATGTACTGGAAGAGATCGAGAAAAAACAAAAACAAAACGACTTCTCTTTGGCTTCAGATTGTTAAATGTGTTTTCATTTGTTTTTTTGGATAGATGGAATCTCAGGATGACGCCGAAGAAATATTCTTCTTTTTTCTTTTTCATACCTTTATTGCAATAAAGTCATGAATTAGTACATTCACAAAATGTCCAATTTTGTCATATTTCATAGCAATTTGAGTATATTCCTTTTTTTGGACAGATTGTCGGATAAAACATAAAATCTATAGATGACACCGAAGAAATATTCTACTTTTTTTCAACCTTTATCGCAATGATGTCATGATTATTTCAATTATTATTATTTTTTACTATTATTTTTCATATGTATTTTATGCACCTAGTGAGGCAAACAGAAAAAGAGGAAAAGAAAAATATATATGAATAAATAGAATAAAAGTTAGATAAATATATTCATCTGTAGACTGGATGCAGGCATGAACGTATATGCACATATAGATACTTTTGGTTATATGTGTGCATGTTAGACTCGATTTTCAATATTTTCTGATATTTTACAGACAAAACAAATCATCAGAATAATAATCTGCAGATTAATCGGCGATGAAAGTTAGCATTAGCTCTGAACTGAGAGAAGGAAAGCTGAATGTGTAACGTACTTGGCAATAAAACCGTGTATGATCTCTGATTGTGTGCAGTCAGTGTTCGGGCTCGGGCCGCTCTGTCCCCATGCTAAGACTAAAGCCAGTGTAAACAAAGGCTGAGACGGTGTCACTGTGTGTCTGGAACCAGCAGCCACTTGGGAGATAACAATCGACAGCCCAGAAAACACGGCCCCGTAAGGTTCATTATCTCCATGTTTGTGTTGTTTTCATCCCCGCCGGCAATAATGAGGAGGAGGAAGGAACTCGGGTTCACCTAATGAGGAGACGGGATCCTTTGTGGAAACAAGACTTGATCAATGCGCGTTTCTCGCAGTCGTGGCCGTGTTCTTTCAAGGGTGTTATTTAGCCAGAGCTAACTAAATACTGCTCCATCCTGACCGTCAGAGAAACTGATTGATTAGGATAGACTGCCACAATGGAGGGTCAATTACATGGCTGTTCATTAGCTACTGGATTCACTCGTAATTATGCAGATTCTTGACAAGATTGTAAGTTCATGCCAGTCAGAAACCCAGCAGTTTTTAGAAGATGCTTA